AAAAAAAAAAAAAAAAAAAAAACAAATTTCTTCATACTGTCTGTAATAACCTTTCCATCGATAATAATTGGGCTTCAGTGGAACCAGAAGGGAAAAGTGGAGGTTTATTCATCTGCTGGAGTAATGAAGTTCAGGTATTCAGCATTATTAAACACTCATTTTGCCTGGAAGTGGAGTTTTGGGATGAAAAGCAGAACTGTAGTGGTTGGGGTATATTCATATATGCAAGCACAGACAGCCAGATCAAACAAAACCAGTGAGGTTTTGTGGGCCTATCTGGAGGGAGCTAAACAAAAATGGGGGCTTCACTGGTTCTTAGGTGGAGATCTAAATGATATTCTATCTGATGCAGAAAAGAATGGTGGCAGGAAAAGATCCCCCAACTCTTTTCTATCACTTCAGAAGCTTCTTTAGTAGGATGGGTATGCTTGAAATCAACATGATAGGGCATCCATATACTTGGGGTAACAACAGAGGAGGGGAAGGATTTGTAGAAGAAAAGCTTGACAGATTGTTTGGCTCTCTAGCAACTTATCCAAATGCAGCAATTCATAACATCTTTAAAAGTGCCTCTGACCATAGCCTCCTAATGCTAGACACCTCTCAAAATCAATGTTACAGGAAAAGGAGGTTCATTTTTTACAGACGTTGGTTAAAGAGACTGTAGAAAAAGGTGGCAATCTGACCATGGAGGTACTCCAATGTACAAATTCCAACAGAAAATCAAAGAGACTCGGCTGGAGATCCTGAAATGGAGCAGCACCTTTAGATCTGAGAATGCCAGGAAGATCATAGTGCTCAACCATCAACTTTCAGAGTTAAGAAAAGTAGGACAACTGATCGATTGGAGAAAGTGGGATGAGATAAAACAAGGGCTAGATACAGCTTATAAACAGGAAGAGCAACACTGGGAACGGAAAGCAAGAGTATCTTGGCTCAAACATGGTGATAAGAACTCCCAGTACTTCCATGCCAAGACATTGCAGAGAAGGAAAAGGAACAATATTGTAAAACTCACCAGAGAGGATGGAGGGATATGTGACACTAAAGAGCAGATAGAGGCTTGCATTGAGAATTTCTATGATAAACTTTTCAAATCAAAAGGTTCTGAAGATGGAGAAAGGCTTCTTCAAGGCATTGAACCAGTCATTTCACAAGACATGAACTCTGAACTCACAGCTCCTGTGGAAGAAGATGAAATCAAGGCAACCCTTTTCAGCATTAACCCCAAGAAGTCCCCTGGAATTGATGGAAGAGAGGTTCTTCTGAAAGCTGTGTTGAATGCATTACCTGTTTACTCTATTTCTTGCTTTCTTATTCCCAAAGCTGTTTGTGCAAAGATTGCTAGTCTGTTTGCTGCCTTTTGGTGGAACTCAGGGAATTCTGAGGGCAAAAAGATTCATTGGAAAGCATGGAACCTTATGACATTGCCTAAGGACAAAGGAGGTATTGAATTCCATGATATCCAATTGATGAACAAAGCTCTGATTACAAAACAACTATGGAGAATCAGTACTCAGCCAAATCTGCTTGTTAGCAAATGTTTGAAAGCCAAGTATTTTCCCAATGATAACTTCTTCTCAGTCAAACAAAAGCAAAATGGCTATTGGCTATGGCACAACTGGCTTAAAGTTCGAGATTCTTTCCATCTGGGTTTGAGATATGAAGTCAAAAAGGGGACCAAAATTAAAATCTTCGAGCACCCCTGGATTCCTGGGCTGTCTGGTTTCAAACCACAAAGCCAACCTCCAACCAACTCTGAATTCTGCTGGGTAAGTGAGCTAATTGATGTGACAGGGAGGAACTGGAAGAGACACATTTTGCAGGAGCTATTCACTGAAAATGAACAAGCAGCAATTCTGAGAATTAATAGTCTCAATCCTGGGGAAGATGACAAACTAATCTGGCATTGTGGCAAGAATGGGGTTCATTCAGTTGCAGCTTCTTATGACTACCTGGTGAGAGAAAAATGGAAGCTTTTGGATATTGCTGAGTCTAGTAAGGGGCATCAGAAATCAGAAGGATGAGGAAGAGACAGTGGAACATGAAAATCAAAGGTAAACTTAAACACTTCATCTGGAAGTGTTTAAACAATATTCTACATGTCAATGTCAACCTTGCCAGTAGAGGAGTGCCTTTGGAGACCAGATGCAATTCTTGTGGGGAAGCTGCAGAGACATTGAACCATCTGTTTTTCTATTGCCCTCATGCAGTGATGATCTGGAAGCTTGCACCTCTCAAATGGGATGGACTGGAACACCAAACTGATAACTTTTCTCACTGGTGGGCTGCCTTGTGTGCTATTCCCCATTCTGCGGTTAATGAAGACAAAATACAGCTCACAACCTATCTGCTTTGGTGGATATGGAAGGCTAGGAACATATGGGTGTTTCAAGGGCTCAGAAGATCTGAAAAGGCTGTTATCAACATTGCTCTTGATGAATGGCTGGAGTTTAGCAGGGTATCTAGCAGTTCTTAGTTTTCTGTTCTCTGGGTAGTTGGTAGCTTGTGTTGTTGCTTTTTTCTTGTATTTTGGGTAGTTTTTCTTTATGTTGTTCTTACTGTAGTTGACTAGATTAGGGCTTTGCCAGTGATCTACGTCTTTTGTTATCTTTTGCGCAGATAGGAACATAACCCCGAGCTC